GGGGGCTCTGGTGCAGCCCCGTGGGGCAGGGGGCTCTGGCATCCTCACCAGGACTCGCTGTGTTTCTCGGTGAAGACCCGCAGCAGGAAGTCGGCGTCCTGGTGTGGCTCAAAGGTGGAGGGGATGATGATGTACTCTCCAGGTGACAGCCGCAGCTGGCTGTGCACCTCCCTTGCATTGGTAAAGATCTCGGAAAAGCCCAGGTCCGGATATCGCGCAAAGAAGTCTTTCCTCAGGTGGCCTTTCTGAAGACTCTGAAACTGCAGGCCCTGCCGTGGGCACAGGCCCAGGACAGGCCCCCGGGGAGCAGCTGGCTGGCCTGGACCCCGCCTGTGGGACAGGCGACTCCGGGATGGCCCCTTCCTCCTCAAGCCCCACCAGAGCCCTGGGGGGCTGGACTCCCAAGCCAGTGCTCCCGAGCTCGAGGCCAGATCCTCGACCATGCACATGAAGCTGGGGTGGACTGGGCGTTGCCCGGGAGGATGCCCTGGGTCCTGGTCTCCTGTACCTCCTTGGGGACCTGGGGGACAAGAGAGAGGATGTCAGACCTCCAGGGTGTGGGAATGGGAACACACCCGGTGGGGTCTGTGTGTTGGGCTGCATTCCAGGCTTTGGGATGGTGGAGCTGGGTGGGAGGTGGATCTGATAGCCCTGAGGAGCCGTCATCGGTTTACAGAGCTTTGCCAAGTAGATCTTTATCGCCCCAGGCTAAGGACAGGAAACTCAGTCTCCAGAAGTGATGTGTTTTGTTGACTCCAAGCTGGTAAAAGTGAAAGAGCTGGGAGAGGAAAATCTAACAGAGGCTTTTCCGGGCTGCTATTCCCAAGAGCACTCATTTCCTGCAGGAAGTGGACAGGAGATAATTGAAATTGAGGACCAAGGACAAACAAATGTATGTGTTTGCAGGTTGCGATGGGGTCTCGCAGTGTGGCCCAGGCTCTGTAAATACTCAAGATAGCTCCATGTGGGGGACCAGATGGCTGTTTCTGGAATTTGCAAAGTGCCAGGGGTCCTGGGAAATTTGTCAGGACTTCTCTGGGTCCCTGGAGTAAGGGCTGTTGGGAAGGTGGGGGAAGGGAAACAGGGTGGGAGGAGGGTCACAATTGTGACACCAGCCCTGCCCTTGGCCCTTGGCCCTTGGACATGTGAATGTGGCTGTGACCTGGGGCCTTCCTCTTCCTCAAGGGTATTATTGTGCTAGAGGCTCTGGGACAACAAGTGTCACAAAGGAAACGCTGCCTGGCTGTGGCAATGGAAGGAAAAGACCAGGCAGCCGCCAGGAGCAGGGCCTTTGGCCTGGGAGAAGCTCAAAGGGTGTGGCCAAGTGAAGGCAGGGAGGCATGGGGGCCCACCGGGAAGATGACGAAGCCAATGGTCAGCAGCGTGGCCCCCTGTGGCTGGCCGAGCCTCCAGTTCTTCTGCATCAGAGCCACCAGGCAGGTGCAGACGACCGTGTCATCCTCTGGGTCATCCTCGGGGTCATCCCCCACCAAGAGTGAGACCCTGAACTGGGGGTTGGTCCAGAATGTGTCTGTGGGGAGCCATTTTGGGGTCAGGGTGTGGGGCTGTGGGGGGCGTCCAGGAGTCCTGGACATCTGATTTCAGGTGCTCTACCTTCCCACCTGAGCTCTTCACCCACCAGGGTTGTTCCTGCAGCCCCCCGCTGTGCTGCCCCTCCGCCAGCTGCCCTCGTAGAAGGTGACATGCCAGCGCCTGGTGGGGTCCCCGGCCAGAGCATCAGGCGTGAGATTGCAGACCTCCAGGAGCGAGAAGTGGCCCAGGAAGTCTTGGTAGGACATCCTGTGGCGGGGAGAAGCGCGCATCGCACATGTGCGTGCCTAGGCCCCCTGAGCTTCCCCGACCACCCCATCATGGCAGGGACACAGGGACAGGCACGGGTCAGAGGCGCCCTGCCACACTGACCAGAACTCGCCGTCCTCCTTCTTGCGAAGCAGCTGCCTCTGGACCTTGTTGTCCACCTCGGCCCACTCCGCAGAGCTGCAGGGGGGTAGGCTGGGAGGGGCGGCAGGGACACCACCTCCCCCTGGACACTGTCACCCCGGGTACTGCCTGGCCCCTGAATGCCCCCCCGGGTACATTATCAGGCACCTACTTGTCACTCCAGGCTCCGTTCCATTCAATCCGTCCCCAGGGATTGAGCAGCCGCAGTAGTGTCTCCGTCCTACCCCTGTAAGGGACCTGGGGGAGGGGGAGAGATCAGGGCCACTGCAGGTTCCCTGTCCCTCTTGTGGCTCTTGGGTGGGCTGTGGCCAGGACTCACATCCACCAGGCCAGTCACAGAGTAAGCATGGCCCCTCACCAGCAAGCTAGGTGTCACCGACTCCGGCTCACTGTCACTAGTGACCTGCAGGACAGAGGAGGACAGGCAGGGTCTGTACCAGGCACCCCAAGCGGAAAAGAACACATGGGGACATTTGTTTTAAATTGCACTTTATATTTTGAAGTAATTTCACAGTTGTAGGCAATAATACAGTCAGCAAGGTAACGCACTCTGATAATTCCAGCACTTGGGAGGCTGAGGCAGGAGGATCATGTCTGAAGCCAGCCTAGGTTCCGGAGTGAGTTCAACGCCTTAAGTTACATAGTGAGACCCTGACTCAAAAAACAGTAACACAACTAAGATAAAACAAGATAGAAAGAGCCCATGTGCTCTTTAACCAGTTTCCCCTGTAATAACATCCTACACAACTATTGTGTGATGTTAGAACGGGATGCTGACTGAGATGCGACCCCTCAAGTTTATCCACATCTCCGGTTGCGTCGGTAATGATTTGTGCATCTTCCATGTGCTGCTACCACCTGTGTCAGTTGTGTCACATCTCCACAGTCAGGGGACAGAAGTGTCCTATGTGTCGCCCTTTTATAACCCCAGTCACTTCTTCCCTTCCCTTCCATTCCCTTCCTTCCCCTTCCTTGCAATCACTCCTTTGTCACCCATTTATCTAGAGTCTGTTTTTTTCTTGGCTGAGTAATATTTCACAGCAGGCAGCCCTGCCATTTCAGCCATTCCTCCCTGTGGGACACCCATGTCCTGTGCTGTAGTATCTGAGCACAGGCTTCGCACGGGCTTGAGTGACAAATGAGAACGTGACTGCTGGCCCGAGGGCACCATGCTGGTTTCACCTATTCTTTGCATAAGTCTTTGCTTGGTGCCTGTCATGTGCTAGATGCTGCCCAAAGCCCCAGGGCACAGCACTGAATGACACAAATAAGCTCACCACTCTGGTGGTATGTGGCTGCTATGGGGGAGGGCTGGGCGGGAGAGGTGTAGATAGACACAGTACGGATGGATAGAGGGGAGAATGCAGAAGGGACGTAGAAAGCCCTTCAGCGAGGACAGCTGAGCGGGAAGCGGGAGAGAACTGGCTTGCAGCGGGACCCCTGGGGGTGGAGCAGTGGCAGGTGCAAAGGCCCTGCGGTGGGCACAGCTCACCTCGATGGAGCAGCCCATGAGCGAGCAGTGCTGCAAGGCCCGGCGCAGCTGCCTCAGCAGGTTGGCTGGGGGGCTGTGGAGCTGGAAGCTCAGCGCCACACCGCCCGTGAAGTCCTCGAGGCCCTCCATGGTGCTGCCCCCTGTCAGTGCCTCGTAGGACCCGCTCAGCCTGTAGGCACAGTGGGGCACCGCCAGGCCAGGCAGCGGGTGAGCGGGAGCGAGGGCTGCCTGGCTGCTTCATCCCTACCTCCCTGCAGTCCGGGCTCACTTGGCATAGGCCTTCTCCAGCAGGGCGCTCCAGAACTCCTGGCGCTGCTCCGAGTGCACGAACAGCAGCCGGTTGGCCCTGGTGGGCAGGCGGTCATCCACCACCACATCTAGCCACCGCCCGAACTGCCAGATCTGCAGCGGCGAGGGATTCAGCAGGGCACACATGCACATGTGCACACACCTGCACACACGGGCAAGCATGCAGGTGCGCGCACGCACACACATGAACACACTTGCAAGGCTAACGTGCATGCAGTCTCATGCACTTAGGCGCGGGCGCGCTGGGACCCTGGATGCCTGCGCCCCCTGGTGGCCAGACCTAGCAACACATCGGTTCCACTCCCCAGAGCCGCTGACCCTGACCCCATTCCCCTCTAGCTGACCCTGCCGGGGCCTTGTTCTCAACACACAGCTCGAGGTCAAGACTTTGGGGGCTGAACTGGTCCTGTTCTGGGAAACATCTGTGGTACACAGACGGATCCATGTGTTGCTAAGCTCAAGGACAACACAAAGACAAGGACAGAGGCTGCGGCGTCATGCACATGAAGACGGACACATGTGGGCCCACACATCTGCACACACAGTGAGAGGTGAGAAGATACAAGCTCATCGCTATTTTCTTTTGAGGCTTAACATTTAATTTACATAGTTTCTTGCAGAGCTGATATGTCTCTATTGGTGAACAATGACTTCAATTGGGTTTTTTTGAGGCAGTATCTAAGTCACTATGGTGCTCAGGCTGCGCTATATGTTATGATCCTCCTGCCTCGGCCTACTAGAGTCCTGGGACCACAATCATACACCATTGTGCTTGGCTTTGTCAATGTTATTTTTAAAAAAAGGAAACACGGGGCCGGGGAGATGGCTCAATGGATTAAGCGCTTCCCTGGCAAGCGCAAGGGCCTGAGTTCAATCCCTGGTTCCGCCAAATAAATAAATAAATAAATAAATAAATAAATAAATAAATAAATAAAGAAACAAAGACTTGGAGATGGCTCAGCAGTCTCAGTACCTGCTTAAGCAAGTGCAAGGACCCGGGTTTGATCCCTGGTACCACATGCCCTGCTGGCCATGCTCCAGGCATACCGAGCCAGCCACCAAGACTGGGTATGGTGGCGCACATCTATAATCCCAGAGCTGGGAAGACTGAAAACAGGAGGATCACTAGGAGTCTGAGCTGTGTAGTGAGACCCTGTACCAAATATGTAAAAATTAAAAAATAAATATGAAGGAAACAAAAGCACACATGATCTCTCTTCCTCCCCCTCCCCCTTCCTCCCTCCCTCTTCCCCCTTCCCCCCTCCCTCTCTCTCTCCATTATGGGTCACCTGGAAATGGAAGATACCAGCATAACTCTTCTCAAAGCTCTGGCCTTTGGGCACCACACGGGACAGCAGCCTGGGGCATGTGGTCAGGGAGGCGATGGCAGCCAGCAGCCAGCAGTCCCCTGCCAGGCCAGCAGGGCTTAAGCAACAGCCCTCAGCTCCCAGGAGTGCAGGGCATGGGGCAGGGGCGCAGGTGAACTCAGCCCTGCCTGCTCTGTGAGCGCCTGGGTCAGGGGATCTTGGGGAAGGACGTGGCCCAGGGCCTCACTCTGCTCCAGGACCTGCTTTCTCGGGGCAGCTAACCTACATTATCTCATGCATGCACAAGCCCAGCCTCTCCCCCCACCTCCAACCTAACTTGGTGTCCTGGTCTGGTGATGAAGGGCCCATGGGTCTGTCCCTCACATCACCACATCTTATAGGACAGCCAGGGGCTCTTCCTGTCCCCTGGCACCATGAGCCCCCACTGCCATCAGTCTCCTGGGGTCAGCCTTGCATGTGGGCCCAGGAGCAAGGGACCCCGGTGCCTCTTACTTGATACCCAGACTGGAAAGTTTCTGGCCCTAGCAATGTCCACACATCTCTGCCCATGCCTTACGAAAGGTGGGGCCCACTTCCTGTCCACATTCAGGGCGGGCTTCTCACAGACAGAGCAAGGAGTTGTGTAACTCCTGAGACCAGGTCATACGAGGTTGTGGCCCCTCTGGTGTTCTCTGGGGTCACTTGCTTTGATGGGAGGGCAGCCACTGGGCTATGTGGATACCCAGCAGCCCTGGGGGCAGTCCCAGCCTGGAGATGGACCCTGAAGACATAGCCCAGCGGGCAACCTCAAGAAGGCCTGGAGCCACTCCACCAGGCCATGCTGCTGCTGACTTCCTGACCCACAGAGACTCCAGGGTAAGAAATGTTTGCTGCCATGTGCGCCTGTAAGCTCAACTCCTTAGGAGGCTGAGGCAGGAGAGTCACAAGTTTAAGGTCAGCCTGGCCAACTCCACAAGACCCTATTGAATGTCTGGAGACGTAGCTCAGTAGTAGAGAGCTTGTCTTGCATGTGCAAAGCCCTGGCTCAGGGTTAGTGAATTTGTGTGTGTGTGTGTGTGTGTGTGTGTGTGTGTGTGTGTATCTTTTTGAGATGGTCTCACTGAACAGTTCAGGCTGGCCTTGAGCTCACTTTGTAGCCCAGGCTGGTCTCAAACTCACCATGGTCCTCCTGCCTCAGCCTCCCTAGTACTGGGATTACAGGTATGTGCCACCATGCCAGGCTAGGGTTAGGGGTTTTGAAACCCTAAGTTGTGGGCAATCTATTATACAGCAATGGGTGATATGTTATCCCATTTTACTCCAAACCCAGGCTGCAGTGGAGGGACATGCAGGATAGGGACAGGGAGCATAGCAGGTTGTCTGAACCCTGGGTCCTCCAAGGTCCCTACTCACCCACGCCCCCCTGGCGGATGTCCGTGGGGCAGAGCCCATCCACGATGAACTGGGGGTTTTGTGTGATCTCCTATGGTGGGAGAGGAAGAGAGTGGTGGGGGCTGGGCACCTCCCCCACTTGTCGGTCAGGTTCCAGGGAAGCAGATAAGGGGGGCCTTGGACCAGCTGGACACAGCTCATCTGTGACAGCAAAGTGTGGCAGGAACTCCAGGCTAAGAGGGTCCCTGGGCTACACAGGCTCAGAATTGTCCCCAGCAGGATGGACGGGACAGAGGGAAGCCTGGACCCTGGGTTGGATGGGGCAGAGACTGCAGCACCCCAGACCCCTCCCCGCTCTGTCTTCTCAACAGGTGCCCACCTTGGGCCGTAGCCAGCAGATTTCCTGCGCGTATTTGGAGTTGGGGCCGAGATCCTTAAAGCCTAGAGAGCGAGGCTCCGCGGGGAACAGGGGATCTTCAAACAGCTCCCCTGCCCTCAGGCAGGCCTCCCGCAGCCCCTCGAAGCTCTGGCCCCCAAAGCTGCAGGCGTTGTGGTGCTCTCCCAGGCCCTTGGCCCTGAGCCGGCTCTGGTTTATGGAAGCCGCCACGCCTGTGACAGAGGGCTCTGCTTGGTAATAAAAGACAAGTGCCCTACTTAGAAATCGAACAGATCTCTTTTTCAGAAGACACAGAAATGACCAATAATCACTGGGGAAAGAGCTCACATCATTCTTTATCAGGAATATGCAAATCAAGAGCACAAAGAGAAACCTTTTGGGCAGTCATGGAAAAGGTGAATACTAACAAGTGTTGGGGAGGATATGGAGAAATCAGAGTCCTTGGACTCAGTCAGTGGGAATAAAAATGGTGCAGCCACTTGGAGAATAGCACAGAAGTTTCTCAAAGCGTAATATATAGCCCAGTGCCATGGCTCATGACTGTCATTCTAGCTAGGTAGGAGGGTGAGTTGGGAGTGTTGCAAGTTCAAACTCAGCCTGGGCAACTTAAACAACTTAGCGGGACTCTGTCTCAAAAATTAAAAGGACCTGGGGACACAGCCCATTTTGAAGACCCTGGGTTCAAGCTCCAGTACCATGGGGGAAAAGCGAAAGCTCAGGAAGGCAGATTTTCATGTGTTTTGTTTGCCACTGTGCCGAGCACACAGTAAGCGCTCAGTGCATGCTTCTGGGGCGGGTCCAGCAGCTTAGGGGAGGGACATCTGGATTATCTGGTTCTTCCTTTCTCCCAGGAAAAGGCCCCATGCCAAGATTCGGTGACAGGAAGTGGGGGCTTGGCTCCTCCTTGGGCCCCAGGCCTGCAGGACAGCCCTCCCCACTCGCCCTCTGCCCCGCTGCCTAGCCCCAAAGGTGTGCCCATCCACCCAGAGCTGCAAGAGCAAGAGCCGGGGTGGGGAGGAGTAACTAGCTGTCTGAGCACCATGGACTCTCTGGGGTTCCTCTGGGCTTGCAGGCTTTCAGAATCGTATTAGAAGCTACATATAGTGGCACACATCTGTGGTCCTCTGTATCAAGAGGCTGGGGCAGGAGGATCGCTTACACCCAGGAGTTGAAGGATAGCCTGGGCAGTTTCTTTTCTTCTTTTCCTTTCCCCTCCCCTCCCCTCCCCTCCCCTCTCCTCTTCCCTCTCGTCTCCTCTCCTCTCTTTTTGGCTTTTTTGAGGTAAGATCCAGGCTGACCTTAAACTTGCAATTCTCTTGCTTCAGCCTTCTGAGTGCTGGGATTACACGCATCTGCCACTACCCCTGGCTAAAACTATATCATGAAATGACTTAGGATCCTATCCTGAAGCTGCTGAGAAGCTAGGAGGGACCTCCCTCGGGCTGCAAGAGGCCCCATGGTTGCAGGTGGCAGTGTCTGAGGGCTTGCCGTGAGCCTGTTCCTTTCCCGAACAATTACTGCTGTATAGTGACAAAGACCTTAGTGCGCCTGTGCTGGCAGCCGGCAAGGATTGACTGAGTACTGCTGGGGCCACATATGCACTGTGGCTGTCATGGACTTACTGAATCACTCTGTGCTCTGCCACACCCTGTGTTCCTGTGCCCCTGGGAGGCCCCTGGGTTTGTGGGGCTTTTGTTCTGAGTGGGCACTTGCACCCTCAGGCCACCCGGCTCTGGAGCAGTGCCACAGGGCTGGGAGAATGATTACTGGGTTGGGTGGGTGGAGCCTGTGCTCCTGCTGGGAGAGACGTCCCCTTTCCTTCTCTGAGATCATCCCACTGCCTCAGGGCGGCTCCGCGAGTTCCAGGTTCTAGGGCAACCAGGAGTGGGAGAGGAACTGAGAAGCACCCCAAATCTGGGAGTTCTCCCGTCCTGCTCCCCCTTCACTCTCCTCAAAACCCCTCTCCCAACCCAAGCCCTCAGGGGTTCTCTCAGAAGCAGTAGAGGAGCCAGGCATCATGGCGCACATCTGTAACCCCAGCTATTTGAGAGGTCCAGGCAGGAGGATTTCAACTTTGCGGCTAGCCTGGACAACATAATGAGACTAGCTCCAAAAGTAGAAGGGAAAACATATTAATAGTAGATGGAAAAAAAAAAAAAAAGTAGATGAGCCTCCCTCTGACTCTGGGAAGAGGGTTAAGGAGTACACGTGTGTGGATTATCTTTTTCTCTGAACATGAGGAGGCTGTGGGGATAAACTGTCTCCCCTCTGAAAGGAACCCTCCCAGGAAAGGAGTGAGGTCCCCAAGGAGGGTGGGACCCGGGGGTTTCTCTTTCATTCCTGACCCTGATAGGACCCTAACCAGTCACCATTACTGTGGGCTCAGCCATGAGAAGCCAAGCCCCTGTAGAGGTTCAGACAGACCCTTAACCAGGCTGTGCTGCCCCGAGGACTCCGCCAGGTCTAGTTTGATCATTACAGCTGGACTGTAGCACCACTAGAGGCCTCAGGGGCTGCTAGACACCCTGGGACACTTGGGGTGGGGAATGACCCCACCCAAAATGCCCACAGCACCTGGCAAGGCTGAGAAACCTGGTGAGGGTAAGGTCCAGGCCACCCCACAGTGAAAGGACTCCTCGGTGCCCTGTCCACCTCGGAGCCAGTGGGGTGGGGCCTGGGCCCTGGCTGACCCAGCACTGAGTGTACTTTTCTCTTGGGGTCTGGGTCAGCCACAAAGGGTAGCGAGGACCATACCAGGGGAGGGGGCAGGCCCAGGCAGTGAGGGGCTAAGTTTCCACTCCCCCATCCCCTTGGAGCCTTGCGCCTTCTCCCCAGCATGTCCCAAGCCCTGTGTGAGCAGGGTTCAGCTTTTGCAGAAAGACTCTCTTGGGGGATGCAGGCCAGGCCCTGTCTTTAGGCTGAGGTGGGGAAGCAAGCTCAGGCAGGCAGACAGACAGACACAGACAGACAGACAGACAGACAGACAGACAGACAGACAGACAGACATAGGCTGACATGAAGGCCCAGGCAGGGGCCAGAGGGACACACTAGAAGGCGCAGATGGACAGAAGCTTTGGATCCATCTCCTTCAGACAGAGTTCACCCTGGATATGGGGCCTGGGAACCTGTACTTTGTAAAAAACTGTATTATGTTTTCATTAAGGAAAAAAAAAAAAAATACCCAACAATGCACATCATTCCTGTCTTGAAATCGGCTGCTTGGTGGGAAGGCCCTGCAGGTTGACTTACTCCTGTGCACGGTCTCCTGGGCTCCCCTTAGTGGTGGGGACACCAGATCCCCCCATCGGGTCCACCCACTCAGTGCCTTTCAGAATCTGCTCCCTGTGGTTGGGGCCTGGGAAGCCGGAAGCCTCCAGGGCAGGCAGGACAGAGACAGCAGGCCGCAGGCAGTAAGTGAGGCTGGAGACAGCAGAGGACCTGGGCCTGCAGGCTGATGGGGCAGTGGCCCAGGGCGACCCAGTGGTGGCTGCTCCCACAGCACCCCTTGCCTCAGGAAACAATTCTGCCCTGCAGCCACCCCTGGGGCCTGTAGCCAGGGTCCCCACTGGTCTAGTGCTCTCCTGGACCTGCTCCTTCTGGCCCGGGGCTGAGTCCTGGGCTTGGGATGAGCTCACTGTTCCAGGGCTCACTGCTCTGGGTGGGCCCCCTCACCAAACCAGTGGGCTAGTTCATGAGACCTGGGCTCCACCACAGGACACCCAATCTGATGGGGACTTGGGACACCCATTTCTGGGAGGCCTGGTCTTCAGGAAGCACAGGTGTGGGATGAAGGACCATGGCTCTTTGGTGCTTACCTGGGGAGCACGGTATGCAGGCAGCCAGCGCCATGGTGGCAGTTGAAGGCCTGGGGGATGCAGTCTGCCCCACCCCCACTCCAGAACTCACTGATGACAGAGTTTACTGGCCACCTGCCTGCTCTCCCTGACTTCCTATTTGTGCCTTCAGAAATCTGGCCCCTTCTAGCTTGCCAGTGGAAGTTGGCTTTGGGAAAGGGACTTTAGGATGAGAGCTCAGGCTGGGGGGCAGGGAAAGCACCTTCCTGAAGACTTGGGGTGAGGCCACAAAGCTGGGACTTTCACCAAGCAAGATGCCTGGGGGTGCTAGGGCCCTGGCCCCACAGGGTAGGCTTTGGGACCAGCAAATCGGAAAGTGCTGTGCATGACAAGGCTGGGGTGGGGGTGCCAGATAGGGTGAACTGTTATCCCCACCCAGGGCTGTCCTGGTCTTCACTGTGTGTGGGTACCACCTGTCCATTTGTAAACATCTGGACTTGGGTTAGCACCTCATGCCCTGCTGGGTGGCCCTAGCTAACACATGCCCAGGCTGAATTCTGTCCTGGGCATGCTGCATCGATGTGGGGCCTGCTGGGCAGGTGCGGCGGTCCTGTGCCTGTCCCACAGAAAGGAGGCCTCCAGAGCTTCTGCCCAGCCTGGGAAGTTTCAGAGCTCACCCTGGGTTTCTTTCTGTGGCCGCCTTGGGGACACCATTGGGGTTTTTGTCCCATGAGGCTGACATAAGTGTGAAGGTTGGGGCCAGGGCCATCACTGCACTGCCACCACCCATGTCACTCACGCTGCTGTGGCAGCTGGTCCTCTAGGCTGGGCTGCTGGCAGAGGGCATCCATTGCTCTGCAGCCACAGACCCTGGCCCTGGCTGCCACCACCCCGATGGCACCAGGGCAGTGTGACCTGTTTGTGCTGGCCTTTCTCATGGACTGTCACCTCTGTCCCTCCCCACCCCCACTGATGTGCTTTCTCCTTTCCTGGGTCCTGCTGGTAGGGGGCAGCTGGGGTGGGCCGGTAGGAGGGTTTCCTGGGGGCTCTGCAAGTCACCTAGTTCTGCACCCTGATATTACTGATGAGGGAACAGGTCCCAAGGCAGTGTGACTTTCTCGGGCTAGGGTCATGTGCTGTGAGCTAGTGTGACAGCCAGGACAGATGCCATGTGTGGGCACACGGCCCTGAGTGCCTTGCACACAGCACATGCTACACGGTACATGGCTCTGTGACTCTGTGACTCTGCAGTGGCTGTGGTGTCCCAGGAAAGCTGAAAGGGTGGCAAGGAGCTGGTGCGGAGGGTGAGGCCTCTGAAGCTGCCTGCAGATGGGGCACCTGGCTGCTGTCCTGAGTGGCTCTCAGGGGTTCTGGGGACAGCAGGGGGACTGGCAAAGCCCAAACAGGGCACAGAGGCGCCTCCAGCCTTGGACACACCCTGTGGTCTCTACAAGCCGGGAAACTGAGACCGAGGACCAGAAGTCTTTTGGGGCTGCATCTGCGGCTGTGCACAGTGCCTGCCTGACAGAGGTGAGGCCTCAGCACAGCTGTCCAGGCAGCACACAAACCACACTGACCCAGGAGCTTTTCTGTTTTTATTTTAAAGGAAAAAAAAAAAATAAAACAAAACAAAACAAAACAAAAAAAGTGCAAAAACCCAGATTCCAGTGTCAGCCACGCCCACCCCAGGGCCCGGCCAGGCCTCCACCACCCCTTGGCTGCCCCCCCCCCCATGCAGCCTGCAGGTCCCTGCACTGCCAGATCCCAAGAGCAGAGGCGAGGACAGATGGGGGGGGGGTCCACCTGCCCCCAGGTCTCCAGCCACGGCACTGGGTACCCCCCTTGGCTCTCATCAACCTTTCCTGACACACTACTGGGGTGCTGCTGATCTGGGGGAATCTCCCCCGACCCCTTTTTGCCCCGGGGCCGGCTCGGGGCTGTACTCACTGAGGCGAGGGTTCCCTGCCTCCCTCACTGTGGGGGAGAGCAGTGAATCCCCAGGTTTAAATACCTTAATGAAAGCAGGGGTTGGGGGTGGCTTCGAGGGCTTTAGATCTAATAAATTATTAGTGTCTTGTGTCCATGGGGCAGGTGGGGGCGCAGCCTCCAGGGCCCCACCCTCACTGGTGGACCTCATTTTCTATGAGGCTGTCCTCGCACGACTGGAAGTCCGTGTCTGTGAGGCCATCAGGGGGCATCAGCAGCTCTTCATCTTGGGATGCTGACGACGGGGGCTCGTCCCCTGAGCTCCCAGGAGCCCCGTCTGCATCCCCATCCCCCTCTGAGTCCTGCAGCACCTGGGCGATGTACTTCTGCAGGGGGAAGAGCAGGTGGTAAGGGGGTGACAGAGCAGCTCCCCCCACCCCCATTATGAGGGTCTGGAACAGGCTGCCCATTCTGACAATGGCAGGGCATCCGGCTTTGAAGCTGAGTCTCCGTCAGGGTCCCCTTCCTTGGCCAGCGAGTAGGGCACTCACCGCAGATTTGGGGACAGCAGCAGCAGAGGGGGGCCGCCCATTGCTTCTGGGGCCCACGGTGTCTGTCTCTGTGTGCTCAATCTTGAGAGATGGCAGAGATCAGATATGGCGGGTACCGTCCCCAAGCCCTGAGACTCCTGGTGCCTCAGTGGCCCTGCTCTGGCCCCCTTAAGCCACCCGCAGCCATGCTTGCCAGCCCGAGGCCCCTACCTTGTAGTTGTGGGCACTGAGGTATTTGAAGTGTCCAAAGCAGACGTGGCAGAGGCAGATGACAATGGTGATGACCAGGACGACGAAGGTGAACATGGACGTGGGGGCAAGGAACCCTGGTGCACGTGGGGACAAAGGACAGGACTGCCACCTGTCCTGATACTCCCTCCGGACTCACAGGCTGGCTGGACTCAGGCCCCTGGCCACGTGGCATCCCCAGGGGCAGGTGCCCTCACCTGTGCGCATGGTGGAGAAGAAGAGCAGCCAGAAGAGGCAGAGGATAGGCGCGGCCACCACCTGGTTCACGGCGCCCGAGTGGATCTTCTTGTCCAGCTTGGCAGGTAAGTAGGCGTAGTAGAGGTTGTACCTGTCCACCAGGTGCTTCAGCAGCATGTACATGAGCCCTGGGGAAGCCACACGGCCCTGACCTCGGAACCGGTGCCACAGACCAGGATGTGTCCAGCACAGGCTCCCCTCTGTGACCACCAGGGCTGGCTGCCCACCTGCCCAGTTCTCTCCCCAGCCCAGGGCAATGCAGGGCAACGTAACCCCAGTATGACCATAGGGCTTGTGCCTTCCCTGCCTGGCCCCTTGCCAGGAATCCTGTCCCCAGAAAAGGCCCAGAGAAAACAGCAGAGGGTTCTTGAAGCCCCCTCCCCCTTACTTCTCTCCACCCTGACCAGGCACAGATAAGGCTAAGTTACATGACAGCTCTAGCTCCCTGCAGGCTGGGGCTGTGGGAGCTTCCATGAAGACAGGGTTAGTCTGGGAATCCGGAGCCTTCGCTGGCCAGAGAGGGTAGTTATGTTAGGGTCAGGGTGTTATGGGAGGCAGAGGATGCACTGGGTAATGGTTAGTGGCAAACCGCTAGACATCTAGAGAAGAGTGCAAGTCACACCCTTAGCTATGGCAGGTCAGCCTGTGGGCAGCAGGGATCCACCCCACCCTGGACCTGGGTCTTTCCTGGGCTTAGGGGGCCACGTGCCCATCGGTGCCTGTGCAGGGCTGTGGGCATGTATGGACACATTAGTGGCTGTGTGATGTGTTAGTGGTAGTGTGGTATGTCAGTGCAGGACAGCGTCTGTGTGGCCGACAGGGCAGGGTCAGGAGAGCTCTGCCAGGGATCAACAATAGGGAGGGGCCAGCCTGGGCTGAGCCTCAGTTCCTCATCTTCCCCAGGCCAGGCCCCAGACTGGACCAGGAACCGGGTGGGAGGCCGAGCGGCCGGTCTCCCAACCGGGCCCTGTCCACTTGGGGTGGCCTCCTTCCTAGGGTGGCTGGGAGAGGCCCCGGGTCCCCCCGAGCAGGGCCCAGGTCCCGGCGCGGCGGCGCCTACCGAAGGGCACGATGATGGGGCAGGTGATACTGTAGGTCATGACCACCGTGAAGACGCACATCATCCAGGCGTAGGCAGCGCCGAACTGGAACTCGTAGGCCTGATGCTGGGGGGGACATGGGCGGAGGGGCTCAGGGCACAGGGCACAGGGCACAGGTCTAGGCCGCGGGGCCGGGGCAGCAGGGAGAGACCGAGAGTTCTACCGGGGTCAGGAAGGAAGCCAGGAGCAGCAGGGTCCTTATGTTGGGCAGGGAAGGCAGGAGAGGTGTGGCTGGGGAGGCAGGCAGGGACTTGGTGGGGTGTTGAAGGCTTCTGGGCAAGAGTGTGGGAGCAGGAGGGGGGAGAATGTGGGCAGCGGACACCCAGCGCCCTCTTGTGTGTTTGGGACACAGGGACCTAGCTCTAGGTGGCCAGACCGCTCCCATCTTTCAGCACGAAACACTACTCTGTCAGAATCGAGGGCCTCCAGGGGCATCTTGTCAACCATGTCTATGTGTATGGGAAAAGCAGGGCCCTGATGAGTCTGGAAAAGAGGGCCACAGAAGCGGGCTCCGGAGTCCCAGCACCTGCGCCCCCCAAGAGCCCACCGGCTGCAGTTTCCGGTCGGACCAACAGAGGGCGCCTGCGGGCCGCTGCGCCGGGGCGGCCATACCCGCTTGACGTTGCGTCTCTCAGCCGCCGAGCGTGCCAGGCACAGGCGGATCATGTACATGAGCAGGCCTGGGATGCGCAGCAGGTCCATGGCATTACCGATGAAGGCCGAGGCAATCACGTAGTTCACGAAGAAGGCGCCGTTGTCTGGCAGGAACACGCACCTGTGGGCACCGGGTGCTCTAGTGCTGTACCTCAGGGGACCCATGGCCACTGCTGCTGTTGCTGCCACCACTTCACCCTCTACGTGGGCAGCCGGCCTGGACCCAGCACTGTGACCCGCCCCTCCAGCAACCCCAAAGGCAGATACAAGGGCCAAGAGAGTCACCCTCAAGTAAGCTCAGGTACCCCAGAACTTATGCAGATGTGGCTTCATGCCTG